CTAAGGATCAAAATAAAAATAATGTACTAAAAATATGAAAAAATAGTAGTAAGAATTTTGTTCAAAAAGGAAAAAAATTACATATGATAAGCATCAAAGACAAGTGTCAAACACAAGCATAAACACATGCCGGAGGTACCACCAAGGTGCAGTACGAGCTATGACATTAAATGAGATGAGATAGAATATGAGTTATTTAAGTTTGATTTGATCAAAACTCGATCAACACTCAAATTGAATATATTTGATTATAGTTCTTAATAAATTAAAGCGAGTTATTTGACACCTAACATTAAAAGCTCACAAACAGCTCGAGAAAAATAATATATTGTTTTTTTTAATTTTTTTAATTTAATTCTTAATAATATTAATGTCTATATGTTGTTTTTAAATACAATATAATATTTTTATGTACTTAAGGTTCATGTTCGAGCTCGAGTTTGAGCTTCAATCGAGCTATGTCTAAGAATATTTCGAGTTCAATTTTTTTTGTGCTCTAGTTGAGCTTCATTTTTTGATTTCGAGTTCAAGTTGGACTTGAGAATTTTAAGTTCGCAAGCTTTCGAGTTGAGTCGAATTTCAATTTTTAATTTCAAGTTCAAGTCGTTTTATAATTTTAAGCTTATGAGCTTTCGAGTTAAGTTTAACTCGACTCGGCTCATTTAAATTCCTAGTATTGACCTTGTCTTCAATTAAGCAATGAGAGCATCTTTAAAAATTCATATGTAATCACTTGAAAGAATTAATATCTAAATAATGTGAGAAACGAAGTTGTTGATTTTGACCTTGTTTTCACACGTATTGTATACTATTTTTCTTAATAGATAATATTCGTAGATTTGTAAGTAAAGGCACGGTGGACGTACCTTCTGCGAATGTCAGAAGCATAGCACTTACACACACCAAATTTGAATGGGGCTTGGAAAGAGTACTGGACTCAAAGTTTTAGTGGTTTAAGTCTAATTCAGCTAAGAATTCATCATTGGGCCTAGCCTAATTCTCTTTTGTTTGTAAAAAAAATGTACAATCTTGTCATCTTCGTTTGGGGATTGCAAACAGGCTTGGCAGGTGCTAATATCCATTCCTCCATCCTCATATTCACTTAATATTTTCGTATCTATTATCTAACTGCTACCTACGATAGGTAAAAATTTTAAATCCACATCGATCCACGTGGATACATTATCAAATCTATCCCCACACCCACTACCCAACTGGATATTCATCACTCATCTGTACATGCATGGAAGGAACCTCACATTTGATTAAATTACAAGTCATGTCCTATAAAATCTAAATATTTATAGAATAGTCTCTAAAATTTTATATAAATTCATAATGGTCCAAAATTTATATGCCAGGTAATTAGTGGGCGGACGGATGTGGGACGGGCGGGCAGATGCGAAGCGAGTAAGGTCTTAAACCCATCACCTACCTACTACCCACGACGTGTATGACTTTTTATATCCACACCAGCCCACTACCCACCAAACTTATATCTATCTCCGCCCCAATTAGAACAGGTGTTGTACGAAATCCACAAAATTATACCCATCTATCATCTGTATCTTGGTTCTACCTCAAAAGTGATTATACATAAATCAATGATACCAATCATTAATGAACATAAAACTAGATTAAACTTACAAGGATCTTTGTAATTTTCCCATATACAAATATTCTTGTAATCGGGTGATCATTGAGAGTCAACAGCTAAACTAACACAAAATCTAGAAAGGAAATAACATGAATTAAAAGGACAATATTGTTAGAATCAAATCATAATAATTATGAAAATAAACCAGGATCAAATCATATCAAACCATCAAGAGTAAAATAAATACTAGAATAGCGGAAGCGTACCTGAATTAATTGACAGGTTGAGATCCTTGAATTTTTCTTAGGTTGTGATCTTCTAAGAAGACAGTTCTTTTAAGTATAAACTCTTTGACAGGATAAGAGTAAATACAAGAGTATTTCTTGGAGATCATAACCCCTTTATATAATTGATTTTAGAATTAGTTATTGTATGTACTTATAACTTTGCCCTTCATCAAGTTATAAATACAACTATAATAGTATCTATAATTTTATTTTCATAACACTTCTAATATCTTATGACTTTATAACATAAATGGTCATTTAATTTATGTCATATTTTATGATAACAATATACATTATAAACATGTACCCATAATTATGAATTTTAATTTAACAAATATATCTTCTTGAAAGATTTCGTATTGGGATTGCAAATCAAGTAACTTCGTATAATCCATTGCAAGATTGAAGAATCTTTGACATCGGAGTCATTGATGTAATGGTCGTATCAAATTAAGACGTTACAACAACTTTCTCCCTTGATTGAATCACCTTCGACCCCTTCCTTGACAACTTGAATTGCATATTTAACATAAAAATGAAGTCATATGTTACTAAATATCATATTAATAAGCTCCCAAAATATTAGAATTCTAGCATTCATGGAACTTGGGCTCAAAGAATCTCATCTTCCATTCTTAATACAAAACCCTAACTAAAAACACCTTTTTAAGCTCAAAACCGACACTTAGGCTTTGAAGAGTAACAAAAGGAAGAAGAATTTTATTTCAGTTTGACAAGAAAACGAAAACTTAAGCTTTCAATGGTTTCCTCTTACTCTTGGGAATTAAGGTTAAAGGGTTTAAATATTAACATTGTAGAAGAAACATATAAAATTGAAAACATCACCCATAATAAATTTTTACAGTATTCGATTCAGATTGATCGATCGATAAATCAAACATCATTGATTACAAAAATAAGTTTATTTCTCATCCCTTTCTAATCATTTCTTTTGTGCTAACTTTGAACAACAATAAATGCATACGAAACTAGGTAAAATGTAGAAACTTCTAAAATAGATTTGAACTTGTAGTCTCTTTCGTGAAAAACGTTTGGCTTTATTGATATGATCTCAATCTCATCGCCCACATTAACAACTAACAAATCAAAGGTCTAAAAAGAACCTTATATAGGTTTAATTTCAAATTACCCAAATATTCAACAAAAGTTCACGAAGAGTAGTTGGGAGGTTTCTGCATTATTTCAAACTAGACAAATTGGTCCTCGAAGAAACAAAATATTTTAAATGATACCCACTTTCAAGCACCTCCAAAATTCGGTACAATGGCTAAATTGCTGCCAAGGACACTTTAGCCGAGACTTATTTCAAAATTGTAAAAATGAGTGAGGCTCCAAAATATTCCCTTTAATTTCAATTAAAATTACATTTGGATATTAATAATAAACAAAAACTATTATGATGTAATTATTAAATTTTATATTTTAAAACTTCCACTTGAAATTTCAAGTAATTTTTTGTTTTAAATTTTTTCTAGCTGGTTGGACGTAGAACGTAAGTCGAGTTGTACACACTAATACTTTTAAATGCAAAATTTGTACTTATATGCTAAATTAGAAAAATTAATATATAAATTTCAATTTTATACACCTAAAATTAAACTATTCAAACTTATTTAATTAATATTTATTCTAAAAAAAGAATAATATTTCTTTTATTATTAATATAACTCCTTAAATTCTTATAAATATGGATATATATACGTGAAAAAGGGTATAGGTTCTAATTAAGTGTGGTCTAAATAAAAACAAAAGGGTTTGTTGACAACTACACAATTTGTGGCTTCTAGAAGCAAATGAAGGATTTAGTCAATATAAATTAATCAGAGTGAGGTGTGAGGATTACTTATATCCATACATCAAACACAATGAACTATTAATTCTAGCATCATCGGTTACATGTTAATAATTAATTAAAAATCGTATTATATCTGGGGTGATTCTCTCAATTCAGGGCCAGAGCATATCAACAACTCAATTGAGATTTATATAGAATTTTACAGGTTATCCATAAAAAGTGACGGTGATAGGATTCAAACTTGATCTTATAAACTCAAATTCTTAAATTTCAACCACTTATATTAACTCTATCCGTAAATATTTATTATTTCAATTATATTCGTAATATCAGATAAGCATACGGAGATGGAGATGGAGATGAGATGAGAAAATTCTGGTATGAATGTCCTATCCATTTGATGTGGACAATGGAATCAACAACTCATCTAGAAGATAAATTCATAGTTGTCGATGACGTCATTTATATATTATTTTAAACTTAATTGATTTTATAAGTCAACTAACCTCATCTTCCCCTCACCCCCAGAAACTATAAAATATATGTTTGGAATTATTAACCAGGCCTTCCAATTTTGAAATTGTTTGAATCATTAAGTATAAATATAATATAATATTAATAAACACATGAAAATAAGAAAGAAAAAAAATAATTATAAAGACCTACAACGATTTCATTATGTTTATGACTCGAATATTGAACAACATCATAACACAAAATTATTACGGGTAAATTATATATTTAATCATTTAAACATTATTTTAATTTTATTTAGGTTATTTAATTATCTTTTTTTAAAATTATCATTAATATTATATTTTAGTCCCCATCGATAAAAAATTATCAAAACTGCTAACGTTGTATTTTTTTAATGATGAATTGATATTACTTTATGGTGACACGTTAGTATCCTATTAATTTTTAATGAAAAGTGGACAAAATAAAATATAAACGTAATATTAGTGATGATTTTTAAAAAATAATTTAGCGATTAAAAGAAAATTAAAATAATAATTGGATGACTAGATACGTAATTTACTCAATTATTACCATCAAGAAAAAAATCACCGGTAACATTATTCAAACAAAACAACAAATGGAACCTTCTATTAATATTTTTATTACTTTTTTTATTGTGTTTTATTTTCTTTCTTCCAACCACGAATTTGACAAAGTAGGCTCAGATTTAGTCTTTTATAACTCTATTTCGTGCTTGAATCAAAGCCAAAACTCCATCCTGAAATTCTCCAAAAAGTACAAGTTTTTCTTTCTCAAATGTTTTACCCATTTCTCTGCGGAGCTGTCCATCACCAAGAAGAAGAAGATGGCGATGAAATCTGGTCTACCAGCCCAGTTTGTTCACCGAGAAAATCAAAAAGAAAAAAGGACACCAAGAATCCCTATTCAACAAGGGGACTCGACCAGTTCACCGCACTTTTAGCAGAACTCGAAGAAAAAAGGCGAAAAATTTACTCAAAAAAGTGGATCCCAAAGCTTAGTCCGATTCGTTTACAACAACTCAAACGATTGTGTCCCGGTCGTGATAAATCTGAGAGACAAGAACGAAGACAAAACCAAACCAGGAAACACCAAAGAAAGGTATGTTCCTGAAGCCATTAACAAGCTTCAAACCCCATCAGAACCCGACACGGAAGTGATCAAGATGAAGGTGGAGAAGAAGAAGAGCTTTTCATGGAGTGCCGTGGAGTTCCAGAATCTGAGAAAGCCATCTTATTTCATCCCAGGAATCATAATCCTAATTTTGTTGCTTTTGATGTTGTTTGGAAGATCGGCTGCGGTATTATGTACTTGTGTTGGATGGTACGTAGTTCCCACAATCAACGGGGAAGGATCAAATTTAAGAACATCGATGAAGAAGAAAGATTGAGTGGGAATAAATTATCTTATCCAAAGCGTGATTAACCCACACCACTGAATCTGTGTTTCTGTGTCGTGCAATTTCCATTTTTGTTGTGTGTTGGTTATTTGTTGATGTAAATAGATTTGTAATATATGGGTCTTGGGTTGTAAATTGTAATGGTTTTGATGCCACTATGCACACCCTTCATAGACAAAGGTGATTACATGCTTTGAGCGGGCGGGCATAATCTCCAAACAATTATACATGTATCGAACCATATTGGTGGACTTGAATGCTATCAACTTTTCTTTCCATCATGTATGTATTTCTCACTATTTAGTGATTTGAAGTTCTAGATTAGTAATATGACGGGAAAGTTTAGGGTTGTGGAAAAATATAAAAAAGGGACTGAACTCTTTTATCATTTTAGTTGGACAAATGTTCTTTTTCATCGGTGTAGACACCCATTTTCGTCCGGGGATTTATTTAATATATATACTAATATTATATTTTATCTTTGTATTTTAGTTTAAATAGATGTTAGTATTTCAATTAGAATTTAGAATATTATTTAGAATATTATTTTATTTTATCTTTGTTTTAGGTATTTTAGTTTATATAGTTTTAAGTGTTTTAATTAGAATAAAAGATATTATTTTTGGAATTATCTTTAACTTGTTTTTGGAAATTTGAAGGCTATAAATACCCTCTCAGGGTAAGCCTAAAGAGACATCTGAGTTAATACACACTCCTGAGAATAAAATCTTTTTTCTCTCTCTATCTTTCTCTCTATTTTGCGCCTACTTCTTTATTTTCTTTTAGAATTTCATTTTCAATTATGCTAAATATGACATTGGTCATGCTTAACTAATGTTCTTTCAAGCCGAAGGCTAAAGTGAAAGCTCAATTCCAAACGTGAGAATTCATATTCAACTTTCCGAGAACACACTTAACAAAATTGTTTGCTAAGAGGAAACTAAGATCGAAACCGATTATTGTTGAAACAACATAATCCAAGTCGTCAGGGAAGAATTGTCATTCTAAGCTGACGTGAATTTTGAAGTAAAAATCTGTTTCAATGATCCGAAGAATTTTTGAGGCTGTTTTCACTATAAGTTTCTCTTTATCTCAATCTCTTTAGATTATTTATTTAATTATTTTCTTTCATTTAATTCTTATCTTTTATTTTAAAAACAACTTTTAAAAATCTATTTTTATCTTTACTATTATTATTTATTATTTTATTTTATTATACCTTTATTTTTTTCTTTCCTTGTATTTTCTTTAAAAGTTAACACTTTTTTTCCCAATTCTTTTTAATTTTATTTTATTTTGTTTTGTTTTGTTTTTATTTTCTCTTTTAACATTTTTTATATTTTATTATTTTTCTTTTATGAAATTTAATATTTTTTTTCATTTTTTTTATTTTTTTCTTTTAACATTTTTTATATAACATTTTTTAAAACTTAATATTTCCTTCTTTGATTTTTTTTTAAATTTAATTTTTATTTGATATTTATTTTATTTTATAATCTAACATTTTCAACTTTTTAGAGGTAATTTCAATCGATTAACGGTAAGTAATTTAAATCATTTTTTTACTTTTCAATTTAACTTGCAATTTTCTTAATTAAGAAAACCGATAAATTAAAATGGTACTGAAAGGGTAGTTCAAGGGTGCTAATCATTCCTTGACTGTAACCAACTCTCGAATCCGACATATTTCTGGTAAAACGCAGATCAGGTAGGATGATGTCCGATCAACTTAAATATTTTATAAATGATTGGTGGCGACTCTAACCCATTTATTAAAGTCGGAGCCCAATTCTGGGCCCACCTAGAAGATGGCCGCGATAGCTTGGCGACTCCGCTGGGGATAGGTAAGTGAGTCAAGCTAAGGTTAATTTTCGGTTGTCTATTTAAGCGAAAAGTGTAAGTTTAATTTTTAAGTTAATTTTTCGATCCTTCCTTATTACTTACCTTTGATTATTTTTCAAATAAATAGTTGTACTGACATTTTTGTTGATGGTTTCAGCTTATTAATCCTTTTTTCATATAATGCTCTATACTCGAGCTCTGAACCCTTTTTAAGTGGGGGTGAAAACAACACCTGTAATGCCCCAAATATTGAATTAGAGACTTTATTGACCGGATTTAAGATTTGAGAATTTATTTGATAATTTTTTATAAGATTAGAATGATTTGGGAATAATAGTTTAGAGCTAAATTGTAGTAATGGAGGAATAAAGGGACATTTTAGTCAAATGAGAATTAGATGAATTTTAAATTAGGTATTAAAGTATAGAGTAAGGGAAAAAGGGGAGAAAAGTTGGTCAACTCTATTTCATTTTCTTCTTCTTGTGCTTCATTCTCCTGCATAGCTCAAAGGTGAGTTTTCAATTTATGAGTTTACTCTTTGGTTTTTATTGGGGTTTTGATGCATGGAGTATACTAGAAGCTTATGGAAGGATAAAAGGGGATCAAAACTAAGTTATGAAGGAAATATTAGAGTTTGAACAAAATGGGCTTTTGAGAGATATGTTGAAATATGAATGTTTATGGATGTTTATTTGTAAATTTGACTTGTCAAATAGGTATATAAGAGATTAGAAGCCTTGGTCTTGATTAAAAATATATTATAAAAAGTGGTTTGCTTCTTAGAATAGAATGTTCTTGAATGGTTTTAGATGTTCTAAGAGATTAAATGAAGGAAAGTTAGTTAAATTGTTTATAGTTGAGTTTGATAGCATAACAAGGGCTTTATATATGGAAATTTGGTGAAGTCTTGATAATTTTCGGGTGAAAACAGACTGTTATAGGCAAGGGGTATCGATACCCTATGAATGGGTATCGATACCCTAAGACCAATTTTGATGAACAACTTCAAGGGGTATCAATACCATCAGGCATGTATTGATACCTGTAAACATCGAAGTTAATTTGGGTACCGATACCTCAGTAGTGTATCGATACCTGTAAACATCGAAGTTAATTTGGGTACCGATACCCCAATAGTGTATCGATACCGTTTTGAAAGGAAGTATCGGTACCGTACTTAGGGGTACCGATACCTCTTGGGGGGAAATGTGAAATTGTTCCTTAAGTAGCTTAAATTATAAGTGTTAGGAAATATACTAACAATTTACATTGCACATATATTTAATGAATGTTTGATAGATCAAAATCAAGCTACTGAGTCGAGTAAGGCAAAAGGCAAGGTCAATTTCTGGAGTAATCATATTCCTAGTTGAATATTTCAGCAAGGCGAATTAGGTGAGTGCATTTAATTAAGTACGCATTTACTATAATAGTTAAGATAGTATGATTTATAGATGAATGTATGGTAAATTACCAAAGGGCACTTTGTGTGCTAAAATGGTAAGGAAATCATACTAAGTGTATGAATTTCTAGATAGAGCACTTTGTGTGCTAAAATGGTAAGGAAATCATTCTAAGTGTATGAATTTCCAAATAGGGCACTTTTGTGTGCTAAAATGGTAAGGAAATAATACTAAGTGTATGAATTTCCATATACTAAAATGGTAAGGAAATTATACTAAGTGTTTCAATTTCCAGATAGGGCACTTTGTGTGCTAAAATGGAAAGAAAATCTTATTGATTTTATGAAATTCCAATTGAATTTATAGAGTCTAGTAATGTTTGATAAATGAGTTAAAGACATCAATGATACAATATACATACTTACCTACCGTATGTAAAGATTCATTGAAATGGGAGGTATAATCTAATAACTTGTGTTTAGAATTTTACTTGAGCTTAAATCAAGTCTCAATAAGTAATACTTAATGTGTGCCTATTTCATGTGTAGGTTAAGTATAGTTTAGTAAGGAGATCTTTTGGACATCCAGTCAGAGTCGCCTCATCGGGAATCGTATAACACACTTTTCTACATTTTGTTATATTTTAGTTGGCATGTAATAGGGTGTAGTAGAAACACTTTGATAAGCATTTTGATTAAAAATTTGTAAAATGATGAAATGTTTTAAACATCTCTTTTGTTGTTTATTTAAGTTAAAATAAGTTTTGTTTTAAGTAAGATAAATATTTTTCTAAAAAAATGAAACAAAATTTTATGTGTTTTCGTATTTGGAACATTAATACTAGTAATGTGACATCCGTGCTTCGTATATGTATGGGTATACGGGAGATAGGTGTTACATTTATTAGTATCAGAGCTATAGGTTTAGTCGATTCTCGGCCAAATCAAGTAAAATTTTATATAAAAAGAGTTTACATGCAATTAAGATTGTCAAGGTTACTGATAGGGCACAAAATGAATATGAAAGATGTCTCTCCTTACTAATGTAATTATTATTTTATGAATGATATGATAGATGTCTAATTCTATAAGCTCAAGAAGAGCGGCTGGGCGAGAGTGTAGAGATGAATCAGGTAGTGAGAGATACGAAGAAAATTACGAACATCTAATTCCGTCTGACAATGCCAGTGCACCGACACCTCAGGGCATGCCTGTTCCGAAATTTAGAACTTTTACGCAAGCTCTTGATGCTGTTCTAGCATGACTTCAACCTCCTCCGCCTCTCCCTACTACTCCAGTACAGCGAATGTTAATCCCAAATGAGTTAAGAAGTTTGGGTGCTCCAGAGTTTAGGGGAGAAGAAAGTGAAGGCCCAATGGACGCAGACTTATGGGTTAATGAAGTGAAGGCAATGTTGGAAGGTTTGCAGTGCTCTGATCAGGAGAAACTGGGTGAAGTTGTTTTATTACTCAAAGAATCGGCTCGGGTATGGTGGACAAACACGACGATATATGCGTTACCCGAGCAGGTGAACTGACAGTTCTTCCAAGAGGAGTTCAAAATAAGTATATTAGGGAGCAATTCATGAGATCGATGTTAATGAGGTTTTTAAGCTTAAAACAAGGGGATAGAGTGGTGCATGAATATGAGGCTGAATATAATAAACTCAACCGTTATGCTACAGAAGTTGTTCGAAATATTAAAGCTCACCGATATTGGTTCATTGAGGGTTTGAGGCTGAAGTTAAAGGAAATGATGTTGGCATTAAATCTGTCTAGCCTACAAGAAGTAATAAATAGAGCGAAGGCGATTAAAAGGGCTCAAGAGGATACACTAGCGGCAGAATAGAGTATGTAAACGGGAAAAAGAATCAGAACGTCTTCATCTGTATAATATGTAAAAAGGGGCAATGTCTCAAGATCTCAATTCCCCATTAGAACTGATCATTCTGTAGCTTTACGGAAAACTAAACAGTCTCAGTCCTATGCTGCTAGTTTGGGTAGGGCTCATGGAGAG